CGTTTTCCTGCAGGACTCTGTCAAGTGCATAGTATTTATCAACCATAAATATTTTAGGATCTAATGCAAAATAAATGCCTCCTTTTTTTCCCTTTTGTTTTGTTTTTTTTTGTTGTTGTTTGGGTTTTTTTTTTACTTTTTACTTTTACCGCTCGCCATCAATACAAGTTAGTTTATTGAACCTTCGGCCAACACGTTTTGAAAAGAAAAGGGAAGAAGGCAACGCCCAAACGGCATATCATTCAAATGTTGAACAAAGAAGAAATGCTAACAAACAGGCTGTCGCTGTCCTCGTTACCAATGAGTGATGTGGACACAAAAATGTCGGAACCATGCAGGTAGCTGTCACGTTTACAGCATCTTATGCAGCACTGGGCGGGTAAATTGCGATGGTAAGCCTACCGACAAAACAGGAATCTCTAATGCCTTGTCATCAACTCAAAACCTTTGATTAAATCTTCGAAACCCATGTGCTTCAATTCAATACATCTTTGTTAAGGTGTATTAACAGGGAAGGACCTAGATTTCAGGAAAGAGGCATTGCTGTCAAAAAGCACGGTAGTTGCGAGTTTAATTTGTACCCTTTGTTGCCCAAATGAGAATAACGTTTTGGATATATTTCTTGAAGCCACTCTAAAACCACGCTTTTCAATCTCTCTCTCTCTCTCTCTCTCTCTCTCTCTCTCTCTCTCTCTCTCTGTGAACGTGGTTTTGTAAGTTCAATGGAAACAAACATGACTAACTGAAAAACTCCGTAAATTCTAAATGTTTCTCCATTACTTTTTCCAAAGCCCAATTTTCTGGTACAAAACCAGTCGCAGACAAATCAACTTGTCGCCCCTTCGCAAACCCCGCCCAGCCCTCCCAACCGGGAAACAACACCAACCAACCATCCAGCAGACCTATGAAACTCTATCAGGGTCAGTGTTTAATTGGGAAAAGCTGCTGCTTGATCTTGGAACTGAAAAAGCAACAGTGGTCGATTGCAAAATCGTAACAGCGCCGAAGTATAAGGGATCGAGTTTTGTATACACATAAATGGGGCTTCACATGATTGTGAACCCAATTTATGTTCATAATATATGTACATATCACGCATAATATATGCAAACGTAATCAAACTACCTGATAGTTAACACTGTGTACATCTTATTGGCATGATTATCAATGTGTGTATGCTGCATTTCAAGTCATTTGGGTACATTTTTGTTGAATTTGTTTTTCTTTTTCATTTCCACGCCAGAATAATATCGGGATTTAGGCTACTGGATTGGGGTCAAGTCTAGCACTCGAACTCATAGGCTGACACAATAAAGTAAACGGACACTGAGAGGGCAGAAACATGTCAGAAAGTATGAGGGTAGGCCTATGCAGAATGAACCTTGAAGTTTGAACAGTGATTAGTCAAAATGGCCAGGAGCAGCCTTTGTCGGTTACTGTGACATCTTCCATTTCCCACGTGTTCTGTTGCGTTCTGTTATCTTTGTTTTCTTCAATCTTGGGTCATGCTTTGTTGTCTTGCTTTTGTGTCTGCTTATGTATGCACCAGCTCCTACAGGCAGTGTTACTGTTCTTGAAAAACTTCTATTTGATTCAGTTTATATCGCTGTGCCCATTTTGTTACAGTTAGACGAAAGCAAGACGGTCTGTAGTGGTTACGTCCAGGTAGTCTGGCACATTACAATTTGGGAACGTAATGAAATACTCGTAAAGTGTTACAATTCTCCCACATGGAAATCCACGCTTATACTTGTATATTCTGTACTTTATTTCTATATAAAAAAAGCAATTTCTGAATAGCAATTTTGCTTTGAACCCCATCTGTTCAAGTCTACAAAACACATCAATTTAAACCCTCATTTTCAAAACTAGCATTGGTATAGAGTAGGCCTACTAAAGTGAATAAGTCACGCACCGTTGTGTATGTAAAAGGCATTAGCGCGAGTACTCCGTTCGTTTGTACTACACTTCATGGTTCGAAATGGCTTAGAATCTGTACCCCGTGACAGATTTGAAGCAAGCTGAGCAACAGAACCATTGTACCAATGTAGAGTGTCCATCTAGTGCAGTGCAGACATCAAAACAACTGAGTTTAAACTGGACTACAGAAGTATGGAATTGTAATAGAGGGCGTTTTGAATCCAGTTGATTTTCTAGAACATATGTGAAACTGTACAAAATTAATGCAAACTGCTGGCTGCCTGCAGTGACCTAAATTCAAATCACAAAATAAGGGTGGCTTGACGTTTCGATCATAGCAGAATCCTTTCCAAATGCTTTCTCGTTTCCTTTTGAGAAAGAGTTTTGCGGTTGCTATTCTATTGCTTTACGCTTTTACAATGTTATATGATTTTCTTACTCCGTGTCAACGGTGGTGGACGGAGGCACCGCCTTCCAAACGTTGCAGCATTGAAGCTGGGAAGGGGGTCTCCAAGATGCATTTTGATAAGCAGTTAATTAGTTGTTTTGATTGGTATAAAATTTATACGTCGCAACCACATTATGAATTATTAATTGCTTAGTTTCTACCAACGCAAGCTTTCAGCTTTAGAGGGGAAATATTTCCTTGTGTCCTGTTTGCCATGTTATGCATTGCTATTTTGTGGGTGATCCGACAAAGTTTCCCATGGGGGTCCAATTGACAAGCTTAGGTATTATGGCATACCAGATCCCGTCCTGTGGACTTGGGTGTTTCTGAGTAACAGTTAACGTTCATTTCCTGATGAGCAAGACAACCATATACACTGTAGTGGAAAGGAACAGGGTAAGTATACCACGGCCTGTCTTGTTTGTCGTCAAGTCACACAGCCCAGGCCTCGGGGTCTACCTCTTTGATGCTCAAATATTCAGAGAGGGGTCTTCCAAGGGGATGTCATACATGCTACTATGTGACCAAACGCGGTAGGTGGAAAACTCGCTCTTGAAATTTCACAAGACATTAGTGCAACACAAAAGAATCAGGAAGACAGCAGGAGATGTTAACAATATGCCATGGATGATTAGGATCAACATCAGTTAAGATTAGAGAAAGACGACTGTCATCGTGTACACAAAACAGGCAACTGCAGGCTCAGATCTTGTGTTGTCCCTATTTATTGCACTCGGCTCCAAGCTAAGTGGAAACCGAGGAAAACTGAAATGAAATAACATTTAAATACAAATAAATACATACACAAACAATTACACATACACAACAAACAGTTTCACAGTAAACATTGGGTTTGATAATGAAAATAAATATCCCATATAGAAATTAACACCAAAGCCATCACTTCATAAATTATGTAGAATTATGGACTCGCAAGATGTCTACGGGGGAAATGCCTATGGCCGGGTGTACACGGTGGGAATTGCAGAGGTCTTTCTCTGGGCTCACAGCATTCTGCTGAAATTACAGATTAATATAATTCACGGTAAAATGATTATTCCCCCCAAAACAACAAAATTCCTTAACTCAAAACTCGAGATTTAACCTATCCCCCCAAAACCTGACATCAAAATTTTACTGTATCCCCATACAACTAACATTACGAGGTGACTAAAACAAGTGTAAAGTACAGTGCAAAAACAAACATGGCGGCCAAATACGCGTGGAAGTACAACCGGAATGAGTACACATATAAACCAAAATACAAGAAACTGGTGCCACAAAGATATACTTCCAGATAACCTGATACATTAATAATCTACTTTGCAGTGCCTATAAATTTAAGAAACTTAAACTACTTACAGGAAGAAGGGTGCAAAGGACGGTAGTCCTTAGACAGCGAAGGCGTGGCAGCCTCTAAAACACCCGCCAAACCACGCTATATTTATAAGAACAAACTCGCATGGCGCATACTACAGAGGTCGCAATATGTATTAGCAATAGGCCAGGAAGGCAGAAACTATTCAACGCAAGACCTAGAAACATTCTAATGGTTACGTAATCAACTGAAAGGACAAAACTTATCGTTGGCGATAACTAAGACTTTTATTCTTCCTTGGTAGGAGTGGACACGTCCTTTGCTGTCAGGGACAAATTTGGTCAGATGTCTTTGGACACTCTCGATTTCCATGATGTGTTTCGTTTGACGTGGCGCCCACATCTGATCGGCATTATCAACACAAACCTTTACACAAATTAGACGAGATATGATTGAGGTATTCAATATAATCACAATTTGGCATTACCAATGCTAAGAGTCACCATGTAAAAAGGTTTTGTTCGGAACGCTGCATGAACTATGGCTTTAAAAAGCGAACGCAATAAGTAATATTCACTGCTTTGAGCATATCACAGCCACGTATGCAGCAAGGTATGAGACGGAGAGAACCCCCCCTGCTTTGTGTTGGTCGTTGTCTCGCAGGAATCTGGGGAACTCCTTTCGGACATCTTGGGGGGATGTGTTAAGTAACAATAGTCTGGAATGTGTATAGGGATTGGACATGTGGGGGGGTACCCCTCGGTCTCATTTCTTGCTGGGTATACACAGTCACGTAAAGCAACTTTCTGTTGCTGCCATTGTTTTTGTTCTCTCTTCCTTCAGCGTTTAAGAGCTAAAGTGGTTGAAGGTTCAGGTCATGTTTGGCATATCTTTTACAAGGTAACATTTAGTCATTTCTGTAATCCGCCATTCAAAAACAAGGCCGAAACCTTTTGGCTATTATACCTGGAAAAATACAAGACAAGGCACCTCATTCGTGCTTAACCGCCGAATCTTTCCACAGAAAGTTTACGTTTTTAAATTTGAAAATTAACAACAGGGTGATAAATTGCCCAACTATAGAAATACGAGATTTATGTATATCAAGATTGTTACCACGTAACCGGATGGCGTATACAGAATTGAGTCTGCATTATCACATGATTGGCAAATGTCAAAGTGTCCTGACACACCCTTAACCCTATCTACATTTATCACACGATTAAAAACACTTCTTACTTCATATTCGTCAATAGGTTGTTGGTCCTGCCTGCCTGTCATTGCCTCTTGCTGCAACTGCGTTGAGCTGTTTGCCAATTTGTTAATTGTCCAACGGGTCAGGGTACAAAAGGGTTGCTATGTGCATTAATATATAAACTGTTTTCATTCGTTGCTATTTGTAGCGCATAAATAAACATTGCACCCCTTAATTTATGTGAAAAAAAATGCAGTAAAGTCCAATGACCTTGCTCGCTGAAACGAGGACGTCGTGTAACCACAACTAGTCGACCACTTGGGAACAAAATCATAACATCTATCGCGTGGTGTAATATGATAGGTGTGTCATCCAAAACTAACCCTTGCGACGTTGGCCGAGTGATTCCCTTTTCCATACAAATTGTGGGGAAAGGCGCATTTTATTCCCCTACAATTTCTCTTTTCAGATGTAATGAGTTTTTTGGAAGCTCGGATTTAATGGACAAAGTTAGAGTTACTTATCGTGTACGGAAATGCGGGTAACCAACACGTGATCTTTTTTTATCTATTTTTTTTTTTGCATGTGATGGTTCAGCAAATTATACTCAGTATTCAAAACGCCCCTCCAATCATAATCAATGTTTTGATTGTGCATTCAAGTAGAGCTCTGTGCCTTCAATTTTAAGGTAGATAAAACTTAACTTTCTTACCAGGTTATTTGTTATGATTCGCTTAATGAATGTCAGAGCCATGAAGATACATGTAAGTATACGTCAAACATCCCAGTGTGTGTTCATTTGATCACTCGTCGCTTGTCCCTTGAAGTGACCATTGTCAATTTTATGGACAATCGGGATATTTAGACCGTAAATAATGAAAGCTTTATTCTTTGAGATTTTTTAATTGATAAGTTTGCCCAATCGTCAGGAAATATTTCTCTTGCAGGTTGCCATAAATCACCTACTCGGTGTTTCCTAAGTACATGTTTTAAGATTTTAACCTTGTTTTATACTCATTTTTGAAATATCTTTTACTAAAGCAAACTACCTCAAGTTGTAGGGACGAAAGTTTCACTTTCTTAAGCCGCCATGTTTGTTTATACTGAGATGATCTGAATTAAAATACGAAGGACTACAGAATTCTGCAATAAAATTCCATTTTTCCTACTTCGTATGTACATGTGCAGCCTCTGGAGATAATTACGAATCCAAACGGAAGATAGGCCTATCTTTATTCTGTATAACAGAGTGAAAAATTCCATAAAATAGAGTAAAAAAGACAATGGTAGGCTGATGTTGATACAGTCGGAAGATGAACTGTGTATCAACATCTTGTTTGCTGCAGGCGTAATAGAGTTAGACTCTAATAATAATAAAAGTCCGATTCTGTTACAACATTCCAAAGTCTAATGCGGCCAGCTTCTGTTTCAAATTCCTATTGTCTACGTGTTAATTCATTCTGACCATTTGAATCCTAAATAACTGTCCAAGAACAAAACAATTTACACTCTAAAAACTCCCGGGTCAGGTCTGACCTGGAAAGTGTCAGCAGATTTGACCTAGATTCTGGTTCCCAGGGCACTGACCCATTACGGATCAACATGATCCAGCCTTCTTGGTCAGAAAATTGTGACCCGGAAAAGGGTTCGTTTTTGTGTGAAAATTCAAAAGAGAACCATTCAACCCCCTACGTCCAATGGGCTAGGCTAGGCTTAGACCATTCAATTTCATGATGTGTTCAAATTCACGGATTTTTCTTGCGCAAATGCTTTAATTTCCGTCCATTTTGCGACGGTAGTTGATATGGATTAGAATTACTCTTTTCGAAAAAGACAAATTTCATCCGTACTTCCTGAATCGCACGGATTGATGTAGATGCAAAAGGGAGTGACCAAAGATGATATAGAACTTGAGCTATAAAAGTTCACGACTTTTCGAGTTGAATGTGTGGCTAACAGTTCTATAGTGTGGAACAGTTACAGGTGCAATATTTGTTTGGAAAAAACACATCCTCAAAGTACGTATACTGGAAAATTCCGATCATAGGTATTTCTTACTCAACGGAAAACTACATGGTAATCTTTATGTGGTGTCACAGTGCCTCTTTACTACCATGTTATTCATCCGACACGGTGACCTAATTGGCTGTGACCTGACGAGTTAGTTCCAACATAAAACCATTTTTATTTCTCAAAACACCACGTGAAAACAATATTTGGGCTATGTTAGGGAAAATTCTGCCAAAGATAAAATTTTACTATGTTTGTTTGACCACATTTTTACCTTGTGCGTAAGGACAATGAGTGTTAGAAACGGGTGAGAGGAGGCGCGATAAGGAGCAAAGTACGCACTGCGAAAGTAGTTCTGGTTATGGCGCGTCCCTATAAAACATCACTGCGAGTCCTTTGAACAACCTATTGCTGTAGAGGACTTGCACATCAAACAGAAGTCTAGACCATCGGACAAGCGAAAATGGGTGAGTTGTGCTGTTCTGAAATAACAGAGTAAGATTTCCTTCTCAAGACATGCCAACTTCATACAAGACTAGTGTTAGCTTACAACCTAATGAGATAATGATCATTTAACTCGCCTTGAAATTGTTTTCAGATGTTTACAGGAATGGCAGCATTCAAGCTTGCCTTTAGAACACGCAGGGGTGTCAATTCCGTAGGATAACAACCCCCCCTACTTTTTTAGTAATAGATATTATAGCTATCTGATCGGTCCCTACTCTTTGTAGGATAGAACGCATCACTTAAAGGTCATTTTCGATTTTCCCTCAGGCCAACACGCGCAACGAGCGACATTTACGTGTAGGTCGTGTGCATACGGAAAGATTCTAGCAGACAAATCAACATCATCTTTAGGTGTATGTAGATTTAGGCACTATCATCTCCCTTGAAGATGAGACAAATAACTCAATATGAAAATAAATATGTCTAATACTGTCTAACACTGGCACTGCACCAGTGCTGAATAAAATTGAGCAATAAAAAGAAACTGTGAAATGGAAAAAAAGTATTACAGAAAGGACGAATGTTCCGATTTATTCCCCCGTGTTCGTCACATTAGTTTTGAATTACCTGTAATACAGGTATTCTACTTTTGCAGTTGAATTCATACGTAGAAAGAAACCACTTTCATTTCTTTCCTTTAAGTTCCAATTACGGCACTGACCTTCATATTTTGTTCGTTTCTCCAAGGAGCCAGATTATTTGTGTTGTTTTTCGTCTTCATGGCAGCACAGAGGGGTAAGTTAGCTATTTTTCCGTCGACAATCAATCACTGCGGCGTCCATTTCCCTTTTAAATCTAATGGTTCTCATTTTCGACTGACCCTATCGTCGACCGACCCTTTTTATGCAGTCAATCCTGTCGACACGTTTTAACAGAAAAGGTTAAGACTAGACGGAACGTGTTTGAGCTACAAATAAGAGTTTCATTGGAAAATACTGATTGTTTATTTGATGACGTCAGGGAATGTGAGTCATGTCGTTGGCATTAAAGTTGTTCTCGTTATTGCAGTGTGTACAAAACAATTTGTATCTAACACGTGGTTTTCGTCCACTTTCGTGAGAATATGCCTTCAAATCTCGTACGTAAAAAAAAAACTTCTCGAAGAGCCATAAGAGGGCGCTCTTTCATATTCTGACCCAGCAATTCCTACATAGGGTCCAGCATACAACTACGGACATTTTTCACCTTGACTGGGTAAAGCAGAACCCCTCCATGTTTAAGTTCTAGTCATATAGCTTGCATTTTTCTTTCCTTTTATCCTGGAAGTCGAAGTCATGGGACTTTTCCCTCGACATACCTGTAATGGTGGCCAAGATTTAATAGCCATGTCTCCAAATGTGGATGTGTTATCTTCATCGGTTGTAAAGTTTTAGTTGAAAATATTTCTTTATATTTTGAACTTTAATTGCTTGTAATGTTATACCTGATGACGTCCGGGTGATGACACAAATGCACAGACATCTTGAAAATTAACCTGATGTTATTACGAAGTTTCAAATAAATGTAGATGTACAAAAGTTTCAAGTAAATCTAGATTTATTAACTTTAGTAAGTCTTCATCATCTCTTTGACGTGTTCATCAGATTTCTACCGGGGGAGGGGGGTTAAAATTGAATGGTAGAGTAGGTGGCAATGCAGGGTTTTTTCACCACAGTCTGAAATAAAGCCCATAGGTGCCTGGATAGTGCTTGATGGTGCCTGGTCACCTAACAATAATGGAAAGGAGAAAGAAAAACAAACCGAGTAGTTTTTGTGGGCTCGCTGATCCCTGTCACCCCAGAGGAAAAGTCCTCTGTACAGAATATCTAAGAAAAACGTTCTTAACTTTAAGGAGGTTCAGTGCCTCCTCTGTCGTTCACAAATTTATATATCAACATTTGAAAAAGAGTAAACTTTGTCACAAGACTTTTTCTATTCAGAATTTAATAGGTAGACGGGATTTAAGTGTTTCTTATTCTGAGTGCCGTATCCCACAAAATACCACAGAACAGGGAAAAGAGTGCCATCTGTTGAAAACTGGGGTCAGAGTATAACGTTTTTAACCCAAGGACCCTAAGATAAACTGTAAAAACAATGATACTGTATGAATTTCTTCATTTTGTACGTTTTTCAAAAATTTGGATAATGTTCGTTTTGGAATACATAGGGTATTTTTCAGTTATTTAATTTTTCTTACATTTCCATTTCGTTACGAAAGCTTGAATAAAACCGAATAGGTTGATTACAGTGATGTATAGGGGAAGGGCCACAGACTAGCCGAGGAGTCTCTTACAGATTAAAAGAGGGACGTTTATATCCATGCCAGACTTGGAATGATCCGTTGTTGAAGCTGTATAAAGGAATTTCAAATCGAAATTCAAGGGAATGGTTTACTTTGATATTGTCATTATTCATTCATTAACTCTCACTTTGGTCTTACATGTATACTTTATCCCACATTATAGTCATGTTAAGAAGTTGCCCTGTCTGATAAACGGTGATGTTTTCTTCAAAGGTATGCACATGAAATGCACTGCTGAAACACTCAGACGGTATAAGGGTAAATGTCAAAGCCTTTTAGGGTTGGTAGTTTTAGGGCTTTTGGGGCGACAGGCAATCATCACCTTCGTTTTCTTTCTGTTTTGCAGCTGGGGCAATAAAATGCTACCTGTGTGCAAGCTTCCAAATAGCAGGTGTTTCCTATCCCAACGACGGCAATGCCGACTGCGCTAATTTTCCACCCAGTACTTACAAAGCCAATGTAACCTGTGACACGTTGATTGGTCCTTCAACACTGTGTGCCACAATTGCCGGAACACTTAAGGGTAAGAGTTATGTTAACACAATGATCATCGCATATTTTTTGGAATGGGGTCATTCAGTGAGATGACAACCACAGAGATAGCACGTGGTTACAGTGTTACAATGAGACTGAATTTTGTGATTTCCATACCCAACAGGTCCAGTACCGATCGATGATGGAACACTCAGGGCGTGTGCCCCGGGGACATTGACGGAACCGCAGTGTTTTATGGGTGAGGACGCGACAAAGGTGATCAAGCAGCATTTTGCCCTTCCACAAGGAAGTACCTTCGACGGGTCAGTCTGCCTCTGCAAAGGGGATTATTGCAACGGCGTCAGTGCAGTCCGCCCTCTGGCGGCTGTAATCGCCTTAGTCCTTGCCACTAAGCAGTTCCTCGTCTAGAAGCCAGTCGCTCCCTGTAACCGAGTTGGCGCATTAAGGCGGAAAGATCCGGGGAGGCCATCCAGCTGTCTCTACCAATTGTTCTTCATATCAATTACACCCTTAATAGGATTATCATTCTCTTGTTTATGTTTGAATGTCGTAGAAGCTATTACAAAATCTAAAGAAACATGTTTTATTGATCATATTCTTTGTTTTAACCCTATGAGATCTAAATGACTTTTCGAGTATACAGAGTATTTTTTGCATAAACAATGATGTTTTTGGAAAGGGAAGGGAAAATGTGTCACTGTCCATTGACATCGAGATGAAGAAAATACATGCAGGGTTATTACAGAATGTGTTAGGCACGAAACTGAGTTTTATGCTCAAATGGCAATGACAGTATGCTTGGAAGTCATTTCGTTCTTGTCAGATGCTTCACATCTCTTATGTTTTTAGTACAGTTTATTATGAATTTTCAGTTTCATTCGAAGACAAATTGATATAGTATCTATCTGTGGTATTTCATCGAGCCCAGACTTTCCCCCTAACATATGATACTGTTTTAAGATACCAATATTGACTGCTTTATCTCGTGGTATGGTAAAAATAGCCTCTCAGGGTGATCCATGGAGCTTTTTTCCCGTACCAGAGGGAAACTAGAATGACCTTGGGGTCCCACTTTTACCGCACCACGAGATAAACCAGTCAATATTTGTTTTATAATTAAAACTTTCCCAACAGCATTAGCTTGATTTATGAGATAACTGGTCAATTTGATCTGAGTACATATAAAAGGTACGTTGATTGAGAAATAAATTTAAATGTACCAGCACTTTTCCAAGCAACATCTTCACAAAATAGTTGAACCCATCTGTGTAACACTAGCACTTTGATTGCGCCTAACTCGCAGCAGGCAACGAACACATCACTGCATGCGTGTGCATACCAATGCCGTTGGTCATGCGTATAGTTTTTTGGTTGCTAAAGGTTGAATTTTTTATTCAGCCGTGAAAAACAAGATATGTTAAATAGTGGATGCCATGTGACTAGCTCTAGGCCAATCAAGGCACAGGATCTGTGGGTAAGGTGTTATAATTTAATTTCTGGCAGTAATTATTTGAGCGCGTTTTACTGTTTTTCTCCAGTTTTGAAGTGTTTTGTTTTTACTTCTGATGGCAGTTTACTATTGTTTATTTCATGATCACACGCTGTTAAAATTTCTCTCTTTCCCTGCAGTGTTGCTGTTCCTTTACACATATACTTGTATCAGTCGTTTCTTTACGATTTAAATTCCAATTTCTTTTCTTTTTTACGTGTTTTATGCAACAATTGGCCCCTTGAAAAGAAACTGTGTTTGAAAAGGTTATCTTGACTGTAAAAAGTTCCCAATTACTGCTCATTCATGCTGCATAACCGATTTGTTAACGATTAAAGCGATGGGAAGGACTAAGGACAATATCATGGACTCCAGTTACTTGCTACAAGACCCTAAATGAATAATTGGCAAGCTGCCAAGAACTGATACCTCTGGGATAGCGGACAGTTTACAGAGGCTTAATGAAGCAGACGATCATTACCGGAGTGAACATTTGGAGACGTTGGGAAAGAATTTAGCCTCTAGGTGAAGTCATATATCAAGATCGTTTACGGAAGTTTTAACTTATTCAGAACACCATACGCCATTTCATCATCGACGCATCAAGGACTGCTAAAGAACGATGCCCATTGTATTGGGATATTCATAAAAGGTGTCAGTTGAAATGTTTGGACTCCCTGAATTTTGTTGTTATGTTACTATGTGCGCTGAGTCATGTGCCAATTGTGGGATATAGGTAAAATGGCTTAACTGGCCACTTGCAAACAACTTCCTTCCTTATGGCTAATATAATAAAGTGCATGAAATGGACAAGAAAGTAAAGTGTTTATTTCATTTCATTCTGTTGACGTGTGCTGGGGAAACACTTTTCATAAAATAATCATCGCTATGGTGATCTTTTACAATAGTGTAAAATCAGGGTTTTAGCAATCGTTTTTATTTACTTGCTGTCCCCCAAAATTAGAAATGCAAGCCTATTAAAGGGGTTTTTTGCCTGACGGGGGTGCTGGGTCTGACCCAGCATGTTTCAAATTCCAGTTCATAACAAAATGAAATAAAGATTCTCTTGAAAATGTCTTTGATCTTAAACACAAAGCTATTCGACTGATAGGGCGCAATCTTGATGACTCCTTTTTACTGAGGTAACTTTTTCTATTCTATACAAGTACCAGGATATCAACCAAAGCTGGTTTCATATTCTCGAATGAACTTCCCACAGAGGTTTGCGTGACCCAGTGAGGCAATATGGCCGAGCAGAGAGTTTATTGTGGAATTAATTTCTCGAAAAATTTAGATTTTTAGAGCTTGAGTTATGTTGGAATTCATAGGGGAAAACATCGGAATGCAGCAAATGAGATAGGATGAAATATGTACGATTTTGTTTTAAAATTAAGGGTAGGGCTACAAAAAGACTCAATACTTCTCTAATAAATAGCCACATTTCTAAATACCTGCACAATTTCTGTCCTGGACTATTGAGGAATTGATTAGGAATTGATTTCTTTAAATATTTTCTTTAATTTTTTTTTTATTTTTGAGCTTTGGTTATGTTGGAATTTATGGGGAAAAACATCGGATTCAATTGAATGCAATAGGTTCAAATATGTACGAATTTCCAAAGTTTAGAGTAGGGCTACAAAAAGACTCCATATCTGTCCAAATAAATAGCCAAATTTCTAAATATTGCACGATTTGAGTCTTGAATTATTGAGGAATTGATTTAATTCGTTAAAAGAATCAGTAATTCGTTATTACAATCTAGTAATTCGTTATTTCGAATTAGTAATTCGTTGAAACGAATAAGTAATTCGTTATGCCCATTCAGTTTGGTTTGTGACAGCACTGAAGATAGTGTATACTGCCAATGGACCCTGTGCTGGACAAAGAGAGGGCACGATTTTCCCATCAATGGAGGCTCGTTTGGTAGGAACTTCACTTTTCTGGATCACTAACGACTATAGATGAAAAACACGCGTTGCGTGAACGTCACCACTAACAAAACGAACACCCCAGACCAGCAATCGCTCGTCGCCCTGCGATTGAATAGGGCGTTAGGAAGAGCTGATAGCCTTGTACATACTTTAGAGAAGGAAATACGTCACATGGGGTCACAGCTAACGAAGCATACAGCATTGGGGGTAAATTTCTACCAGGCGGGCGAGCTCGCTCAATGCATTACACAATCGGCGGTTGTCGATTCGATATTTTTTTTCCTTATTGCTGAAAATATTCTCACTGCATTTTATTTGTTGAAAAAATAGATCAAGTTAATCAATGATTTGAAATATATCGCCCAAAGACACGTGATCAGTGATACTAAGTGACAAGATAAACTACCACACTATGATTGTACCAAAGCCATGTTATCATCATATAGCCGTTACTTTGCCCGTGCTAAAGCATTGCCATTGGTGAACCGAAAATTAATCAATCAGTAACAATTCGATAACATGAAGTGATAACCTCGCTGTCAAAGGTCACAATAATATGTAGCCAATCACAGTGCAAAGCTATCAGTCCTTCCCAGCGAGCGACCAGCATGGCTCTTCTCAACCGGGGGGGGTCCTGTTCCAGGCAGACTCACAGATAAAGGGGAAGTTGTAGATGTATGGCCACCATACGTAAATGATTTCATGAAGAGTGCAGTTCAGTGACGAATCCAGGTCTTGGATGAGGTCGAACTGGAGTTGTTTCTAAAAACGACTGTCCAAATTTTCCTCCTTAAAAACATCGTTCCTGCCTCCCTCCCCCTCCCTAGCCTTTTGTCAAGGCCTTCGCGGCTGTGTTTATGTGTAACTTCAAAGCGGCTGGACCGGAGACCACATGCACGAGCGGCTCAGCCACGAGGCCTTTTCCAACTTGTCAGGAATTCTTTATGTTTTCTTTATGTTTTCGATTTTAGCTACCCGAAATATCTCAACCAATCATAAGCGAGGGTGTCAGCACACATTAACCTATTATGCAAATTGAGAGTACAGTATACTAAAAATGGCGAGCGTGTCAAGTGTGTCGGCGGCCGTGAGTGCAGGTCAGTTGTCTGAGCAGCATTTGGACAGTTCTTAGAATATGCTGCTATTTCACCTTGCCGAGTTTAAACCGTTGCAGCGTGATTTCATTTGTACAGCACACTGGAACAGTACTGTAAAGAGCCCAACAGTTGATAAACCCATAACCTGAAAAGAAAGTGGTGTTTAAAACTTTGCCATCAAACTTTGATTGATATGGAAAAGCAGATGTCACATTTCAGGTTGTCGACTGAAGCCAGTTCGATACAAAGCGTATATGATTCATATGATGAAAAGCGGTTGCTGGCAGCCTTGTTGAGCTTCATCTCTTTTACCGGTGTGATCGGCAACAGCGTTGTCCTGTTGGCCCCGGTTCTCTCCCGTAAAACCTCGCACTCCTACTAACGTGTTTGTGGTCAACCTGGCTATAGCAGACATCAGCATGTGTCTGAGTATGCCCGTGATGATATTGGCCCTGCTTAGCGAAAACAGGGAGAAGCTGAATATTTCGGAACAACTCTGCGCTTTCCAGGGCTTCATACTTGTCGTTTGTAGTGGCTGTAGCATGAATAACATCGCATCAATCGCTGTCCACCGCGCTCTGATCACTAGCCGAAAGAACCAAAGTCATCTCAGATGGTTATTCGACCGTCGCTGCCTGGCAGCCACCGTCACTACAACCTGGCTGATTCCTCTTACTGTCAGCCTCCTGCCCATTCTATCTGAATTTGGAGCGTATGAGTACGATGATAAACTAAGTTCTTGTTCCTTCAACCCTACTGCCCCGGGCTCTGGTGTATTCTCCAAGATCATGATGGTAGTCTTCTACCCTGTGCAGCTCCTTGCCGTCCTCGTCAGCAGTGTATACGTCGGGTTGAGGGTGAAAAGGCACAAAGAGAGAATCGGAGCTGCTCCACCGCAGCAGGGCCTGGCTGTAGTCGGGGGTGCCATGAGGCTACCGGGAAGATTAGGCCAGCTTCGGCAGTCTCGCTCATCGGACCAGTGCACTCCAAATCGGCGCATTCGTCCACTCAGGCTTCCATTCCGTCGAAACATCCACGTAACGCTCAGTTTATTGCTAGTTGTCTTCTTCTTCGTGATGTGTTGCGCACCTTACTTGATAACTGTCGCAGTCCTCAAGGACAGAATCAACAAATTTGTCCCCTTTTTAGGCCTACTTCTTTTCTCCAATAGCTGTATAAACCCTGTTATTTACACGGCCCGACACCCGGACTTTAAACATGTGTGCCGCTGCATCATGCTTTGCAGACTCTCAAAGATACCAAGAAAATCATCTTTTCTCAAGCGCTTGCTCGGATTTGGAGAGTAAATATTAAGTTAAGATTATGGAGAAACGACGAAAAGGTGGAGATTCTTTGATTCAAATAAAAGAAGCTCGGACTTAAACCACGTCCTTCCCTCCACTATTATTGTCTATATCGTAGAAAAGAACAAAAAGGCTTTCCTGATGCTTTGAGAGTCAGAGCAGCGAGATGAATTTCATCATTTGTCCAGCGTTGGCTGGTTATGTACGTTTGCATGTACATAAAAGCGTCATTCCTGTCCCAACCCGTTGAGCAACTCCTCGGCTGGGTGCACAACTAGTTTTCCTTCACAAGCACAGTAGATGATTTACACGAAGCTACACAGACATGCAGTCGACGCCATCAGTGTATTGCATGGCACACACTGTCTTACGGTTCAAATGGATTTCTATCTATATGTTAGTTGCGGTAATATGCTCATTTAAAGTTAGCAAAAACTATCGATATGACTGTACGGAGCTGGAGACCTTTTTCACCACCAACGAGCAAGTTTCTAGAGTGACTTATTTGAGAACAACAGTTTACTTTCTCTTCAAATGAAGATTACGTTTAAAACCTTGGAAGCACGTACTTACTCTTTGAAACCCCTCAGTTACCAAAGAAAATTCGTTCGTTTGGAAATACATGCATTTGGAATTTCATCTCATTCATCTGGGAAGTATCATACCTAAGTTTCTAAACAATTAATCTGTTCTACAAAATTTTGCATGAATTATGATTGTTGAAGTTGTTTTTAAAAATTGTTTAATAACAGAGAAAGAGTTAAAGCTCTTTAAAAATTAACCGAAAGTAGAGTGGCTAAATGTGAATTTTAAAATGAATACACAAAGAAAAATGATAACAATACTACAAAATATGCCTAACCATTAGAATGTAAATCTAACATAAAATGAAAAGCAATTGATGAAATACAACTAAAATGGAAGGGATACATAAAAATGAACCTAAAATGGAAAACGTATGTACAAGTTAAGGAGACACGTCAAAACATTACATGTTAAGTAGTACAACGTAAGGAGCGGCTCACTTTAATTGAAAATCGCTAATCTCATCAAAAATGTCACCGCGTCAAATCTAAAAATTTGAGTGTTAACCGCACTGGACGTCTAAAACAATCTACTTTATTTGGCACAGCGTTTTTCACCGTGTGTGACGTTGTAATTTGTCACAAGTGCTTTTTCTGTGTCTATTAACGTGAGTTTGCTCTGTCAGTTTTTGAAGAATGTCCAAACTGTACATTTTAAAAACTGTATATTCTTAAGACAATCGACACTTTATCGAATAAGATGACGTCACAAGAGTGGTTTAAGATGTATGTTAAGATGTGAAGTGATGATAAACTATGGCAATGTTGGGTAACTGTTTCCTGAATACATTAAAATTAATACTTACATAATATGCTTTGTTTTTGTATTTGTTATGGTAAGTTCTTATTCAAAATTACACAATGATGAATATCCTTGCATTCATAAA